TACCTTAATTTTTTTTTACTCCTCAAACTGACATTTAACCCCACAACCAAAGCCTACCCATTCCAATAATGGCACACACTAGAATAGGAGAGTCCCCAAATTATTCTCATACTCATAGGGCTAGAAACATCCACCAGGATTAACACAGGAACAGTGGGATTAGGAACCTCTATTCACTACAAAAGTAGTGAATAAAATTCACAGGTTATTGCAGATATTCAACAGATCACTGATTGGGTACCAATTTACAAAATCAATTGGACTCCCTGGCATCTGTCATCCTATAAAACCACTCAGGAAAGAATGCTATTTCTATATAAACCAATTGGAAGTGAATGGTGAGTCTCAATATGAGAAATCAAAAATCATCATCCATCTTAACTCTTCCCTTCATAAAAAATTCCACCCCACTGCATGTGTATTAAATCCCTATGTTGTATTATCTTGGCCCATTCAAATACAGTATAATGCTTCACAAAATATATATTATGTTAAATGTGAAGACCATATGTTGCAGCACTGTATTAATCAAACCATATGGAAGAACCCAGAACAAACTGCTATTCTTAAAATGCCAATAGCTATCTATCTCCCTGTAAAATTAAAAGAACCATGACAGGAAACACTTTCAGTAGTATTCATGCAAGAGTTGCTAAGACATGTAAAGCACCAGGCTAAATGATTTATTGGGTTGTTAACAGCTGGTATTATTGGTCTGACTAGCATCATTGCCTCTGCCTTCATGGCAGCAGTGGCCTTACCCAAGAGGCCCAAACAACACATTACCTTCAGCAATTCCATAAAAATTATACTGAAACCTGGCAAACTCAAGTACATATTGATCAGAAAATAAAAGATTTTGATCAGAAAATAAAAGATTCTGTTATATGACTGGGGGAACAAATACAAAATTTATGGTAGACCCAGGGACTTCAATGCCATTATAATATTACTCACTTTTGTGTTACTAGAGTTCCATACAATGAAACTGAGGTTCGATGGCAAAGTGTACACAATCATATAATGGGACTTAAATCATTTCACAATGTTTATTTAGATGTATTAAAATCACAATCTCAGGTCCTGGCCATGGTTAATGACAAAACATCTAATTTTGATAATGAAGAAATTTGGTGCAGTTTAGCTTAAATTTCTTCCCTTACCCTTTCAGGTACTTTTCTACACATATAGCTGGATTATTAGCCCTAACTATACTGTTAATTGTATCCCTGTTCTTGTTTTGCATAATTTGTCGAGCAGGTTGGAAATAACTAAACCACCAGGAAAATATGGTTCCAAGGTAAATCATGCTTGCTATGTGCCACAGTCTGTCTGGGCACAATCAGGAGCCACTTGTCAAAAGAAACTAACTTTATTTTTAGAACCACACACGCCAAACAAAACAGCCTCTCAGGAAAAACCCTCAGAGCCTCAACTGCCACCACGGGCTTTCCACAAGCCTCTCTCTCCCACACAAGCTTCTCTCCACCTCCCACAATCCTCCTGCTCTTGAGGCCGATTGGCTGGGTCACGTGGGCGGAGCCAAAAAAGTCCCCCAATGAGCAGCTCCGTGGTCTGAAAGGGCAGGGAAACAGCCCAATGAGCATCACCGCAGAGGAGCCAATCAGCTAGATGTTGCTGGGGCCGCTGTGAGCCAATCATCAGCTGGCAGCTGGAAGTTTGCTGGCAGCTGGAAGTTTGCTGGGGCCCCTTCGGCTGTGGCTCTCAACAGCTATGCTCCAAAGGAACTGGATCCCTGAAGTCATGAGTATAACATCTCAAATCTGATTGGGCCTTAATTAAGAATAACAGAGTCCTCAGATATATTACATGCCAAAACCATTTTCCTAGCACTAACAAATTAGTTAATCTTCACCTTTCATGCTAGAATTATTCTCCTACCACTAGTAAGCTAGTCTTCATTTTAGATGCTAAAATTGTTTCCCCTAAGCTAACAAACTAGTTCATCTTCACACATTGTTATAATGTTTTTATTTTCCCCATTTTTAGTTTTACAATTTCTTAATAAAGTGATCAGCTCAGCCATAACAGCTGGGAAATATCTCAGGGCATCTCTCCTCCCACCACTCACTGCCTGATCTTCTGGAGCAACATAGAGAGAACTGACATCGCTCTCAATGGCTTCAGAACTTCCCCCACATATCCCCCTCTGCATGACCCTCATATTCACTTCCAGGACTCTGAAAGGAAGCCCCTCTTCCTTACATCACCCCCTCCCAGCATGAAGCAGTTAGAGACCTCGACACCCAATTTCCTCCTTCCTTTCACAGTCTAGAATATTAGATATGGAAAATGGCAAACCCCAAATAGTGAGACCTGGGTAAAGGAGAGTGAGAAAGAAAGCCATACATTGAGAGCATTCCCAGTACATTCTTTCCCACTGATAAAACAAACCCTGGGGAGGAGGTGTCCATCAAACCTAGAAAGGTAGTCTCTGGGAAAAGGCCAAAGCATTAATCCTTCCCTAAACAAATCCTTTCCACATACCAACCACTGACCCCAGGCCCTCAATCTGGTCCAGTAAGATAAATCCCAGAGACTGACCAGTGATCCCACATTCCCTCCCATTTACTCAGTAAAACAGACCCCAAATTCCTGAGTGCCCAAACTGACATGCTTATTAATTAAGTCACTTCTCAGTATAACCTACATAAGCCCAGTCCCCTCCTTTGTTTGGGGGCTCATTTTCCACCAGGAGAGTGGGTCCATTCCCATGGGTTTAATCCCATTCCTGAATAAAAGGCTGAGATGATCCATGGACTTTGCATTGGGCCTAGTCTGGTCCTTTTGTGCTAACACCCTAGACCTTGCCTCCCTCACCTCAGGGTCTCACTGAATTGCTCAGGCTATCTTCAAACTTGGGATTCTTTTGCCTCAGCCACCCAAGTAGCTGATTTCATTACTAAACATGGGTGCATTTTTGGATAAACCCAAAACTGAAAAACATAATGCTCATGGTACTGGGAATGGTTAACATTATGACCAGAGCAGCATGCAAGGACAGAGAGTGGAAATGGAAGATGCACACACAGCTGTCGTAGGGAAGTCCAGATAACATGAATATTGTATTAGTTTGCTTTTCAAATCCCCCTAAGGTCTCAGACAAAGAGTCGGAAAAGGATTCAGAGTTGGATAAGCACTTGGAATCAAAGGTTGAAGAAATTATGGAGAAGTCTTATGAGGAAGGAATGCCTGATCTTGCGTATGTCATGTACATTTTGTCTGCAGAAAATACCTCAAATTTACCTCCTGAAGGTGGTCTTGCTGGCAAGTGCAATATTATTGAAGCTGTTTATAGTAGACTGAATCCACATAGAGAAAGTGATGGGGCCTCTGATGAAGCAGAGGAAAGTGGATCACAGGGAAAATTGGTGGAAGCTCTCAGGCAAATGAGACTTAATCATAGTTGGAAACTACCAACAACTTCTGGAGGAGATGCTGACTAGTTACAGGCTAGCTAAAGTAGAGGGAAAAGAAAGCCCTGCTGAACCAGTTGCTGTAGCTACTTCCTCAAACATTGATGCAAGAAACCCAGTGACAATGCAGGAAAGCGATACTGAATCAGAAAGTGGTCTTGCTGAATTAGACTGCTGTAATGAAGACACAGAACAAAGATGAGTGGTGGAAAATATTACTTTTTTGGTAATATTTTTGTGATCTTTGATTTGGTGATTTTTACTTAGGAAGTATAATGTGTACATTTATATAACCATTTTGTTATTTGAATCTTGGAAAATTAGTTTTATTATATTCAAATAGCCTTGTTTTTTAAAAAGGCCTTTGCATATATCTTTATAAGATAGTTTAAAATTGACTTTTATAGTATTTTGAATTTAATTAAATTATATGTCATCTCACCTTGTATGTAGGCTACCATTTATTAATGCCAGTAGTAAAATTCATATTTGAAAGGATTAGAAATGACTGATTAGAGAGATTACTGTATGTTGTGGAAAAACTTGTTAATGTAGAATTATACTGATTATTTTGCATATTAGTACATTCACAGCTTTGTAATAAATTTGTGTTTTCTTTAATAATTTTAGTTCTTAAAAAAATGGCTGATGCCGGCCTGGAATTTTTCTTTCAAGGTTGATGATTTGTGTTTTGTTTGATTTGTTTATATTTAACATCTCTGTAGTTTTAGCTTTAGAAGTTGTGAGATACTGGATATGTGGTTATTTTTTCTTTCTTTTTATTTTTTTTGAAACATAAGTTTTGAAACCTATGTATTATTCAAACAGCTTTTGTTTGTATAGTCTGTATTGCCTAACTACACACACCAAAATGTATGTCAACCAAGTGTTTAGAATAAAATTATAAGTGTTTAAGCCCAAATAAAGCATGTGATGTGGAATAATCTAAAAGAAAGAATAAAATAGCTGGGCAGAGTGGCACATATATATAATCCCAGCAACTCAGGAGGCTGAGGCAGTTCGAGGCCAGCCTGGGCAATTTAGTGAAACCCTGTTTCAAATTTTAAAAACAATTTTTTAAAGGTCTAGGGATGTAACTCAGTGGTAAAGTATCTAAGTTCAATCTCTAGAACCAAACATACACACACATAAAAATAAAATAAAAATTTAAAAGGCCCTTTGTAGTCACAGGATCCAATGTATAAGTATGCATTAGAAATACTAAATAAACCAAGAGTGGTAACACACACCTATAATACCAGCTATTCAGGAGGCTGAGGCAGGAGTACCCCAAGTTCAAGGTCAGCCACTTAACTAAACTCTGTCTCAAAAAAAATTTTTAAGAACTTGGGATATAGCTCAGTGGAAGACTGCTTGTTTAGCATGCATGAGGCCCTGGGTTCAATCCCACAGTACTGCAAAAAAAAAAAGAAAAAGAAAAAGAAAGAAAAGAGAGAGAGAGAGAGAGAGAGAGAGAGAGAGAGAGAGAGAGAGAGAGAGAGAGAGAGAAGAAATAGAAAACAGAAAAAAATAGAGAAAGAAATACTAAAATAGTACCAGTACCTCCTAAGCTGTCAAGATCCTCAAGAATCCTGCCAAATCTGTGAAATAAAGCAAACTATGAATTAAATGAAAATCATGAGGCACTTTAGGGCAATAAAAATCGATTCTAAAATCATTTGTGGTCATAGTTACACAACTCTCTCAATATACCAAAAACCACATAATTACATAGTTTATATAGGTGAATTGTATGCTTGTGAATTTTCTTAAAACAATTATAAAAATAAAAATAAATAAAAAATACACCATGTTACCTTACAGTATTTTGAACAGTTAAATATTTCTCTCGTAATTCAGGCTCACTACCCAAAGGCAAGAGAACTTCAATATAACTGTCCTTCATTCTCCTAGGTGGCAGTTCCTTCTGTGACTTAGCCAAAAAACTGTGAAGTAACTTCCTTTCCTCCATTGCTTTCACATGGTCTCTGAGAAGAAAAGATGAAACTTTTTACAAACAAGAGCAGCAGTATCCCACAATTCCAGTGATATCCAGGCCAGTCAGATACCATCAAAGGAGGAAAGAAGAAGTCTAGACCTACTTCATCTCTTCCTTCCCTTCTTTCCCTCCCACTACTTGGTGAAACTGAAATTTTCTGGTAACTTTTCTTAGGTTTATAGATAAGAAAAACCTACTTAGAAGTTATTCAGATATATCCAAATGGATCATATATTCGCCTTGATCAAAGAGTTTATTAAAAGAATATAATATTTAAATCAAACTAAAAATACACAGAGATGGACAGAATAGTCTATATGTGAGATAAAGAATAGCCTGTTCCCTGAACTCCAGGTTGCCATTTCTCACTTTGAAAATTCTCAGATTCTCTGTGCCCAGGCTGGCTGGCTGGCTGGCTTGCTCTCTTTCTCTCTCCCCCTCTCTCCTTCTCTCTCCCCTTCAATTTTATGAATGAGAGACTAAGGAGGGAAAATGGACTATATCCAAATGAAGTATGAAAGACAGAACAAAAGGTAAAGAGGAAAATAACATGAAAAAGAGACAAAGGAGAGGAACAAGAAGAAAATATTTAGGAGGAAAAGAAAGGAGAAACATAGGGATAAAGAACTGAAATATTCACAATATTATTAACTAACTAAGATGTCTTTCTAAGCTTAACTTATGAAGTATTATTGCCAGAATGTTTAACCTGCAAAAAATATAGATATAGAAACAAGTTAAATGATACTAAGGAAACCCAGAATAGGGAACATTCTCAAAACAAATGGCTTGGTCTCTTTAAAGTCAAACAAATGGGGGAAAAAGGGGAGGATAACTGTCATTTGTTCAAGATTAGGGGAGAATAAAGTTGAGGAAATCTGAATGTGGATGACTATTACATTACTGGAGAATTGCTGTCTATTTCATTACATAAGAGAATGTCTTATTTGTTGGAGATACATAAAGGCTGATCTTGTCAGCCAATACATGTATATTGGTAAATTTGTATTGAATCCAGATAGTGAGTATTCATTCCTTCTACTTTTAAGTAAATTGAAATTTTTCGTATTGAAATTTTTAAAATGTGTCATTCAGCCAACTGCAGTGTGTTACCTATAACCCCAGCAACTGGGGAGGCTGAGGCAGGAGGATCACTAGTTTAAGGCCAGCCTCAGCAACTTATTGAGGCCCTAAGCAACTTAGTGAGACCTTGTCTCAAAATAAAAAAATAAAAAGGGCTGGGGATGTAGCTCAGTGGTACATATTCCATAAGCATGTCAAAAATGTTGTTATGAGAATCAGTGAGGTAATGTACCTGAATGCACTTTGAAAAATGAATACATGCAAATAATATTATTTTATGACAATGTTGCATCAACTTATCATTGTACTAAAATGTTCATCTTTTCCCCAATTAAAAAGCCTCTCAACCTATCTCAACCTATCTCCAAATGCAGGGTTTCCCATCCCTACAATAGGACTATCAACTGAGTCCAAATATAGTGTAACCTTTGGATGAAAGAATGAACGAACACAAGAGTACATACTTCCAGTTTGTAGATGCTCCTACTATCTCCCGCAACTTATCTCGAACTAAAACAAAAATGAAGAGGTTAGTCTATGAAACAAAGAAATATGAGAAGTAGATTATGACAATGAGCTTAAGAACTATGAAAAGCAATTCATGCACTCAAGACTTTAAGACTCAAATTCCCATTTAATACCTTAACAGCTCAGAGAAGGAATCAGGCCTCTGCTCCCTGAAAATGTGAAACAATTATACTATCTTTTTTTTTTTTAATATTTATTTATTTTTTTTAGTTTTCGGCGGACACAACATCTTTGTTTGTATGTGGTGCTGAGGATCGAACCTGGGCCGCACGCATGCTAGGCAAGCGCGCTACCGCTTGAGCCACATCCCCAGCCCCCAATTATACTATCTTCTTATTTCAAATAAAAATATCTTTGTGCTAATCATTGGCATTTATATAAACAAACAAAAAATGTTAATTATTCATCCAATGGGGTTTTATCACTGTCAGGAGTCAAGTCCCTTTAAGATGGAAATATTTTGAACAGGATTCCCACTCATCCTCATATAGGCATGGTTCAGGAGCCAATAGTAATATTCATATCTGATATATATAGCTATACATAGCATATATGCACATATATGCTAATTGTTATTATATATAAGTATATATACATGTATACTAATATACATTTATTACTATGTATATACATACTAATTGTTAGAACAGTTAAGCCAGAAAAATTAAGCAAAGATGTAAATCAAGGTAAAGTTAAAAATGCAATTTAATTTTAGTTAATGCCCACTATGCAAGAGTGAATTAGCTTAAAACAAAATGTAAGATCATAACAGAAAAATTGACACTAATTACCACACACACCATGATTCACATGTACTGGTGAACATGCTATATGGATAAAGGGAAAATCAATTAGATAATCAGCAGTAACTCAAAACTAAAAAATAAGTCTATCATATTTCATATATTAAGTTCAGGAGTTTTTTCTAGCATTTCAAAATATATATTCCAGTTATGGGGTATTAACTTAAAATTATCCTTGGTCCTTCAATAACTAAATGATCAAAACCAAATATGGTTAGATTAACATGGACTTTAACTTTCATGAAAAAAATGTACTGTTTTCTATGAAACAATTGTATAAGCACCACAAATTTGGTACACACTTAAATCACAGTTAAATCATAAAGAACTGCAAAAAATGATCGTCAGTAAATAAGTCATTTCTATTTTTTTCCTCTTGAGTTCCTAAATAAAATAATGGAGATATAATATCCCAATGTACAGAAAAATTATGCTCACTGACATGAAATGATTCTTACTAGTTTAGTCAGTAAGAAGAAAGGCAGGTACTGAGGGGTCAATAAGAAAAGTAGAATTTTAAAATTTTATTAACATATTTAGTAAATATGTGTATACACACATATTTACTTGGACCCTTTAATGAAGCCACAATTTTAACTATAATGAATACTCTAAAGGTAACCCATAGTTGGCATATCATATTAGTAAGTGAAGTTAACTCTATTAAGCATAGATTAATAGGGTTCCTCTAAGAAAACTATGGACTACAAATCATTAGTTGGTACAGCTAATGAATCCACCTCTTATTCAAGCATTAGATCTCTCCCATGTCTCTTCCATGACTTCAGGACTTACACACAGTAAATAGAAATCATTTAAGTAAAATAATTCATTCCTCAAGGCTCCCAGAAACAACAACTCAAATTCTAAATGTGATTTCTACCCAAAGTTATTTTGCAGCTATTGTAGTCATTTTATAAACGAGATGTTTATGAAACATCTACCTTTAATATGTGTGTCTCATTAGCCCTAAACTAGCATCCTTTACCCCATTCAAATAAAAGTAAAACAGGGTTTTCTACTGCGTAAGCATAAAAGGTCAACACCCATGCTTGCCTTCTTGAATGTGGAAGATTCCCTGTTTCCCAGGATCCTGGGATCCTTGAGTCAGTCCTCTGCCAGGAGTAAGCAGCTCTTTGCTCAAGGCACAAAGCCTGTAAAACAAAATAAAACATAGTTTTATAGTTAGTTCCAGGGCTTCTCCCCTGGCAATCTCAAAGACCTACACCTCCTCCAGAGTATCTGGCTATACCACATCCTTAGTATATACTATCTTAGAGGAATCTGTAGTTGTTTCACAAGTATATACATATTTGCATTTAAGGGTAGTCTATAAATCATCTCTCCAACTAGAATAAATATATATTTTTTAATTCATTTTAGTTGTCCATGGACCTTTATTTAATTTATTTATTCATATGTGTTGCTGGGAATAAAACTCAGTGCCTCACACATGCTAGGCAAGCACTCTACCATTAAGCTATACCCCCAGCCCACTAGAACAAATGTTTCTTGAGAGCAGAGAAAATTATCTAATTATATACAAAAAATAAATAACAGATATGAACCAGTTTTAAGGATATAATCTTGCTCTTTCAATTTTATTGGCTTCAGAAGTCCAGAATTGATGTGGCAAAAAAATGAGTAAATTAATTTTGAGGAGAATTAAGCGGCTGCTTTGGCTGCACTGGAGGAGCAAAGAGAGCAGCGGAGCCAGAGCAGGACATGGGAGGCCAGCGTGGCAGGATATGTGGTGCCCATCATAAATTCCTAAGAGTTGCATTCCACATAGCCCAGCAGCACCATGAAATTCAATCCTGCCATCCAAGCTGCTTGTGACCTCAAGGCAGGGGCTGCAGTGATCTGAAGAATGCAGCTGCTGGGGTCCTTCACCTCTCCCTTCACTGCACTGGTGCTCTGCCCCACTGAGCTCATCAAGTGCCGGCTACAGACCATGTATGAAATGGTGAAGTCAGGGAGGATAGCCAAGAACCAGAATACAGTTTGATCTGTTGTGAAGACTACACTTAGAAAGGATGGCCCCTTGGGCTTCTACCATGGATTCTTGTCGGAAGCCGCTCTGGAAATATATGCCCTTATATCCTAAGGAAGAGATACTGAATAATTATTGTGCCCCACAATAACTTGGGCTTTACCTCCACTAGGATAATGAGGCATGGCTCCAGGTGTAGGCGTCACCCAGTGGAGTTGAGTTACACTCATCTGTTCCTTTGTGTTCCTCCCCCTTTGTCCTTTTTGGGATAGAATGTTCCATGGAACCTCTCCTTGTGTGTCTCCTACATAATAAAGAATTCCAGTGGCTCTCTCTTTTTCCATGGACCTCTAAGGTTGGAGAGCCTTCCCAGATTTTGAAAAGGTACTTCTGGGTGTTTGTATGTTCTGTGTGCCATTTTCTTAAGTTATTGGAAAGTCAGATTTGTGAACCCAGCATAGGTCACCAGCTAGGATAGATGGCAATAGACCCTCAAGCACTTTACTTGGAGAAGTACTGGGATATTTCTTCATCTTTGGTGGCTATTAATTAAGCCGGTCATTTTTTGCATCAGTGATGGAGAGCAAAAGATGAACTAGGCCCTGTGTCTTTGATGTTAAGTGGTGGAATTGGTGGAATTTGCCTGTGCCTTGCTGTGTACCCAGTGAATGCATCAAATCCAGAATTCAAGTTCTTTCCATGTCTGGAAAACAGGAGGGATTTATCAAAACCTTTCTAGGTGTTATGAAAAATGAAGGAATAACGGCCTTATATTCTGGACTGAAACCTACTATGATTCGTGTGTTCCCTGCCAATGGGTCACTATTCTTGGCCTATGAATACAGCAAGAAGTTGATGATGATCCAGCTGGAAGCATACTGAAGTGTCCTGGTGGGCCTGGATCCAGGCACAGGCATTTGAGGACTACTGTTCATCTCAGGGTTTCACAGAGTATAAGAAGAATATGGACTTATTTTGAACTCTTGGGAATTTTGTCTTTGTCTTCCCTTCTCCTACCCTAAGTCTTAAACTTTATGGAAGGACCTCTATTTTACATCATATAATTTCTGCCCACATTGTATTGCTCTTACCGTTGATAGTATATGCAGGGTGGCTGATGGCCCTGTGCATCTAACTTGAAAGGCTGAATATAGTTTCATCAGGGCATTATTTCTGCATAAATTTGTCTGTATACATGCTTCTTGGATAGTTATATGTTGGGGGAAACATAATTTGGTTTCATGTTTAATCTCAAATATCAAAAAACCCAGAGGTTACCATTTTTCACTAAATGGTTAAAAATGATTGCTTAAACCATTCTAGATGTGTCTCCAAAGTCCACTAAACCTGAGAGGTTAAAGTTTTCACATGGGACCTGAAAACTAAAATATCCATCTAGATATTAGTAGAATATACCTGCATACTGGTGTGGCTTCAACATTCTTGATCAAGCTTCAGAGTAGGCATCTGGGATTTTCCCAAGAAGCTTTACTCTTAAAATAGTGCCATTCATTTTCTAGGTGGGCTCACATTCCACACTTGACTATGTTTGGTATAGCCTAAAAGATGAGGCCTTTGGGAAGCAGCGGTGGCCTTCACCAACTTCCCTTTTTCTCCTTTCCCAAACAGTCTCCCCTGTTCTGGGTCGTAGATTGAGGAAAGGGCCAGGAAATGGGCTATGCTGTGCTATTTGATGATATCTGACAGCAGCTCTTAACCTAATTCCATCTCTGGGTTGAATTATGGGATGTTCTTTTGGCCCAGATCCAGGGCTGCTGATCGACTTTGGACCACCCATTGTCCTCTCTGCCTCACCTGTCAGAAGTCCTTCCAGGAACAGAGAGTGCCAAAGTCAAAAGAGGCCTTTGTTCCCTATTCGGTGATAAAGTAATGATATTCATGGGTGAAGCCCTATTCTCTCAGAACTAGAAAGAGTTTTGTGCTTATATTTCACAGTGAATGATGGCAGGACTGATCCATCCTAAAGTTTACCTTAGAATCCACAACTACTTGCTTTTTCAGTGTTGGAGCCATCTGCATTTGGGGCTGGCAGTTTATGAATTCTAATGAGCATACATGGAGTGTGAATTTACAAAGCAGTGTAACTTAAGAAAAGCAATTTTATTAAAGTAGGTGGTATGTAATACATGTTCCAACCAGAACAAAAACCACAGTTCATCTGATCCCCATAGATTTGAGATGGGCAGCTGTGGTATAAGAGGGTCATTCTTGTCACCACTAAAGTCAGCCTTATCATTCTATGCTACTCCAAGACCAGCAGAGCACTCTCAGTAAAAAGTGTTCTTAAACAGCCTGTAGAGCCAAAATCAGGAAGGCTGACAATTTTAATGAGTCTTACCTTGTATGTCTGTCCCTGTGGGCAGAATGTAAATGCTGAGCAACACCTCCAGTTTCCTTCAGCTTTCTGCTATCAGACAAGCCTCTGTCAACTCTTAGCCATGGTATCAGGAGAATAGGGTCAGGGAAGCAAGGTACTACCAAATTGGCAGGGTGGAGAGCCAGGGACATTTAGTGTAGGGATTCTTGTCATGCCTGATGTGCTCCAGAGCTAGAGCTGGTCATTCATTTACCTTTTCTTTATGAGTAAACCATTTTTTCTACTTTCCTCTCCATACAAAAATGCTCAATAGCTGCTGAATGGTGCTTCATCTGAACAGGCATGAATTGCAGCAAAATAGAACATGGGATGGGCTTCTAAGCAGAGAACTGCTTTAGAATCCACAGCCTCCTGCCTGGTGCCCAGGAGCTAGTCCATGTTAGCTCTTTAGGCAGTAGATCTTCTCACAGGCTGTCCCCTCCTCCAGCCACACCTCCCCTGCATATAGTTATCTCCTGATAGCCCACCCATTCAGCTACCTGCCTACAATTACCACCCAGCTAATCCATATCAGTGGCCACAGAGGTAAAGAAGCTAACAGCCTGACCATGCTGCTTATTAGCTTAGTGACTTTGGGTAAGTTATCTAACCTCCTAAAGCCTCAGTTTCCTCCTTTGTAAAATGAGGATAATAATAGTATCTATCCCCTAGAACTGTCATAGGGAAAAAGAAGGTAACCACATATTAAACCTTTTGGGACATTCTTAGTATACTAAGAAGTCCTCAGAAACTTTAGATATTATTATTCCAGGAAGCCAGGTTTCTCCAAAGTCTCCCCTATAGGTCAAAGAGAAAGACCCAGAAATTTAGAAAGTAAGCCAGACACTATCATTCACCATCTCTGAGTGCAGAATCAATGGTGATAGTAAAGAAAAGTTGATGACAAAACCACAATAAGTATACATTGGAGAAAAGATAGCTTCTTCAACAAATGGTGTGAGGAAAACTGGAAATCCATATGTAGCAGAATGAGATTAGACCCCTATCTCTCACCCCGCACCAAACTGAACTCAAAGTGTACCAAAGACCTAGGAATTAGACCAGAGACTCTACATCTACTAGAAGAAAATGTATGCCCAGCACTCCATCATGTCAGCCTAGGAATTGACTTCCTCAACAACACTCCTACAGTGCAAGAAGTAAAATCAAGAATCAATAAATGGGATGGTATCAAAATAAAAAGCTTCTTCACAACAAAGGAAACAATCAAAAGCATGAAGAAAGAGCCTACAGAGTGGGAGAAAATCTGTGCCACCTGCACCTCAGATAGAGCATTAATCTCCATGATATATAAAAAATTCAAAACACTTTTAACACCAAAAAAAACCCAGTTAGTAAATGGGCAAAGGAACTGAACAGACACTTCACAGAAGAAGAAATATGAATGGTCAAAAAATATATGAAGCCAGGTGCAGTGGTGCACGCTTATAATCCCAACAGCTCAGGAAGCTGAAACAGGAGGATCACGAGTTCAAAGTCAGCCTCAGCAACAGTGAGGTGCTAAGCAACTCAGTGAGACCCTGTCTCTAAATAAAATACAAAATAGGACTGGGGATGTGGCTCAGGGGTCAAGTGCCCCTGCGTTCAATCCCCTGTACCCTCCCCCAAAATGGAAAAATGTTTGACATCTCTAGTAATTAGAGAAATGCAAATTAAAACTAAACTGGGATTCCATCTCACTCCAATCAGAATGGCAATTATCAAGAATGCAAGTATTTCAAGAGCGTTGTAATGTTTTGAACAACTAATAATAAAAAAAGAAGAAAAAAAAGAATGCAAGTACCAATAAATGTTGGTGAAAAATATGGAGAAAAAGGTACATTCATACATTGCTAGTGGACTGCAAATTGGTACAACCACTCTGGAAAGAAGGATGAAAATCCTCAGAAAACTTGGAATGGAACCACCATTTGACCCAGCTATCCCGCTCCTTGGTCTATATCCAAAGGACTTAAAATCAGCATACTATAATGACACAGCCACATCAATGTTTATAGCAGCTCAATTCACAATAGCTAAATTATGAACCAACGTAGGTGCCCTTTAACAGATATGGATAAAGAAACTGTGGTATACATACACAATGGAATATTACTCAACAATAAAGAAGAATGAAATTACGGTATCTGCCAGTAAATGGATGGAACTAGAGACTATCATGCTAAGTGACATAAGCCAATCCCCAAAAAAACCAAAGGCCAAATGTTCTCTCCAATATGTGGATGTGAAAAACAATAAGGGGGATGGGGGGACAGAAGTACTTTGGATTAGGCAAAGGGAATGAAGGGAAGGGAGGGAGACTCTGACATCTGTAACTTCACATCACGTACAACCACAAGAATGGGAAGTTATACTCCATGTATGTATGTCAAAGTACATTCTACTGTCATGTATAAGTAAAAAGAACAAATTAAAAAAAAAATTTAAATAGAGCTTAAGTGTAGCTCAGTGGTGGAGCACTTGCCTAGCACATGTGAGGCTGCGGGTTCAATCCTCAGCACCACATAAAAAATAAATAAAGGTATTTTGATCATCTATAACTAAAAAAATATTTTAAAAATAAAGAAATAAAAAGAAAAAGGAAGAAATGAAGGAAGGAATTGATGAATGGAGAAACACTTGGGTCAATTTATTTGGAAAAAGATGGTCCTATAACCCTATTCTTTGCATGCAGCCTTAAGAAACTGAAAAATATATTCCTGCAGCACAACAAAGGCATTTTTAAAAATTGAACCCTTTTTAAAAATTGCTGCTTATGGGCTAGAGTTGTGGCTCAGTGGTAGAGTACTTGCCTAGCATGTGTGAGGCACTGGGTTCAAGTCTCAGCACCACATATAAATAAATGAATAAAATAAAGGTTCATCAACATCTAAATTTTTTTAAAAATTGCTGCTTATATCAACTATAAATCAATATAACAAATTATCATACTATAAACATAGCATTCAAGTAATGGTAATTTGCACTACAATTTGGTAATCCATCTGCTGATAAAAATGGGGACCTCTGTGCCAGGGGTTGTAGGAATACATTTTTTCCCTACACAAAATGGTATACACTACTTCAAGAGATCCATACACCACTTCCTTTTAACACCCCATGGGCCTCTATATTAAAAAAGTCTAGTTAAAACCAACATGAGGAAACTGAGGCTTAATTTTCAGATGATATTCCCCAGTGACAGTCAATTAGCACACTGGCAGAGTCCATATAGAACTCACTTCATACCCCCCCACCCAACACATACACATTGCACTTTTCACAATTTCAGGTTATTTCCCTTATATATAGTCATGCACCACGTGAGGCAAACAATGGGACACATATTTTAATTTTTTAAAGTTTACAGAATAAGGATACAAAAAATGAAAGTATTTTTTCACAGCTGTACAACATGTTTGTGTTTTAAGCTGACTGACTCATCCAAAGCAACTTCCAGTCCTACAAGCTCCATTCGTGGTAAGTGCCCTATGCAAATGTACCGTTTTTTAATCTTTTCTATCATATTTTTACTGTGTCCTTTCTACATTTAGACACATAATATTTACATTTCATTAAATTGCCTACAGTATTTAGTACTGTACCATATTGTACAGGTTTGTATATTATACAGTCTAGATATGTAGTAGGCTATACTATCTAGGTTTATATAAATAAACTCTATCATGTTTGCACAATGACAGAATCACCTAACACAATTCCCAGAACATATCCCCACTGTTAAGCAATGCATGATTGTATAAGCTAGCACTGAGGTAGAGGTGGGAGAAGGTTTAATACCCCACATCTCAATTCCTCAGGGTCACTGGCTTATCCCCTGAAAATTCCACAGGAGTCTCACAACAAAACTCCTAAGCTTTTAGAAGAAAATGTCATGAGACCTTTGAAACACTTGGGCACCAGAAACCCATGATGGAACCTTTCCAAAGAAAGAAGACCAAGAATCTCAACCTCTCCTTGACTTGCCTAAGAAGTCACAGCTTAGCTCCATCTTGGGTCCCAAGTTCAGAGTGGCTGGCAAGGAAGAATTTTCAGTGCAATATAAGCAATGCCATTAAAAGGCCCTCTACTCTAAGGAAATACATCAATTTAGAGACTAAACAAAGTCAAGTGACTCTTCCATGAATCTAAAAAAAATAGAAACTACACAGGTTGCACACAACCTAACCATTCAGTTTGTATTCATTTATGAGCTCTTTCTCTCACTAGACTCTGACAAAATACCTGCTTACATTTCAACAGAACTCACAAGAAAGGAATTCAGGGTTTCCAGTTCAGTGCACGGAAAGACTTCCAAACTGGAGGAGAGGAATTCAAGGGAAGACACATGGACAAAATTGTGGAGTTTGCAGAAGTCTTTCATATCGTATCTAATGCAAATGTTAAGTCAGCTGTGGCCCTTGTTGTAATAATTTTCAACCTGTCTTCAAATGGTATAGAAAAGGCTTTTATTTTTTCTAAGTGTTATGAGAGAGAGAGGTAGAAAGATATACCATCCATCCCTTTAAACTAACAGCAAGGTTCCCAAGAACAGTGAGAGAGATCCAGGACCCCCCCCACACACACACACACACACACACACAAGAACTGATGAGATCATTGTCAGTCAGAACTACTGTGGATCATTGTCCCAGAATGACTTCAGAAACTAGAGCAGGTGTAAGTCCCCTGGAACTCAGTCAAGCAGAAAGAACCTGGAAGGGTGGGTTGGATGGAGAGAGCCAGAAATGTCCCCAGAGTCTAAAGCCCTCAGTCCTTAACTGTGCCAGCTGGGAAAATGACATATACTAAAAGGCATTCATTTTCCTTGCCCAAGTGGTCCAGTCAAAGCACCACCCTTATGAGGGCCCTTCTGCTGATTAAAGGTGTAGTTCCAACCCGCATTGGGGCTCTAGTCACACAGTCTAATGTCCTGAGAGCCAAAATGTGTCCTGCAATCTTGGCTTACGTTACGATACACTCGGATTCTAAGTGTGCCAAGCGCTTAAGCCTAAAAACAAAGATGAGTAAAGGGCTGGCAAGGTAAGGTGGAACTCCAGATACTGGTTTTCTGACAAGGGGCTACCCCAAAACAGTTTCCAACCACACCCCTGATGAGCAATCAGAAAGGAATTTCAGGGAACTCCCAACTTCCTCCCTTAAAAGTATGGCTTGGCTTTTAATATCAAAATTCCGCACCAGATATCACTAAAGTTGGGCGGGTGTGCCCCAACCCCAGGCCAATAGGTCTGTTTCTGGGCGGAGTCGCGGTGAACAGGCACCCTTTCCCTCCAGGCCCAAATGCCACAACATAGGTTCCACCCGCCTCGACCCGCTTCTTCCGCCCAGGTCCTCTCAGAGCTCCAAGAAAGGGCGTGGGCACTCTCAGCCAGCGCCCTGACAGCTCTCCCACGTCCTGCTACCTACCGCAATGCTGCCCGCCTCATCATGCTTGGCTGCTTGGCACTCAGTTGGAGAACCAAGCCCCGCGTACTGATCGGCAGAGGACTGACTACTGAAGTAACAGAAGTGCGAGAGTCCGGGCGCGAGCACGAGTGAAAACCGCAGTTGGAATCTCGGTACTCTAGGCTACGCGGGGCAGCGTTGACAGGCCGGGGGCGGGGCCGCGCGGCGTGGGGGCGGGACCACCACGCTGTGCCTGGCAGCCCCTCTGTCCATTCATTGGTGGAAAGCTGGAGCCCGCCTCTACAGAGCTTCCACGCAATCAGCTGCGCCCGGCGTATTGCTAACCCAAGGACAGGCCTCTTCCCGCCCTTGTTGAGTGAATGAACCACGAAGTACTGCCGAAGCGTGACACGGAGGCAAGGCGGGGAGAGGCCTGACCTGCAAAATTCTCCCTATCCCTGGCCCTGGTGCCTCTACTCCTAGTCTGAGGTTCTTGCCCTTGGCTGCACGTTGGAATCTCCTGAGCAGCTTTCCGACGATGTACTGATGGCTGAGACCCACCCTCTGGAGATTCTGATTTGGTCATGGATGCAGCCTGGGCTTTGAGATGTCTGAAAGTGCCGCAGTTGATGCTAACATAACCAAAAGTGATCTAATGAGGGAAATTTTTTCTTCTCGGTCTGCCCCTTAGTGTATGAATGTTGGATATCTTGGCTAATCCAGAATTACAAGGCCAGTGAGTTCAGATGATTTTACCCTAGGACCTGAATTTACATTTCATTCAATGAATTTTTATTTAGCTGTTTGCCTAGTGCCAGACACTGTTGTAGATATTAGGGATGCAAAAAAATGAAAATAATCACTGCCATTAGGGGGCTTATGTTTCAGGAAAGAAAAATCAGCAAACAAGTCAGCAATAACAATTTCAAATGTGGTAAAGCATCTAAAAAGGAAATATAACAAGGTAATGAGAATATATGTTAAGTATTGCTTTGCTTTTAAAGATACTAATTTCCTAGGAGGTAGGAGTCATATATGATTCTTCAGAATATCCCATATTAATAAAAATATTATTTGAATTAAGCTAGCTGATTTTTATTATTTTATGACTTATAAATGGACTATAGTCTTTGGCGTTCACTTTCCTCTTTTCCTAAGCTTCCCTGCTTTTTTATCAGTGTCATCCAGAACATTCACCTTTGGACCTTCAGAAATCTCCCCTCATTTCTGTTCATATTCTCTATACCGTTTCAGTGATTGTTTTGTTTTGCTTTGTGTCAGCTATATTTCTTTTTTTAATTTATTTTTTATTAGTTCTAATCAGTTATGCATGACAGCTGAAAGCTTTTCCATTCATTGTACACAAATGGAGCACAACTTTTCATTTCTCTGGTCGTACACAATGTAGAGTCGAACCACATGTGTAGGCATACATGTACCTAGGGTAATGACATTTGTCTCATTCTACTATCTTTCCTAACCCCATTTTCCCTCCCTTTCCCTCCCTCCCCTTGACCCAATCCAAGTTCCTCCATTCTCCCCAGCCCCTCCATTATGGATCACCATGCACTTATCAGAGAGAATATTTGGCCTTTGCTTTTTGGGATCGGCTTACTTTATTCTCCAACTCCATCCATTTACCTGCAAATGCCATAATTTTATTTTCTTTTAATGCTGAGTAATATTCCATTGTGTATACATACCACAGTTTCTTTTATCCATTCATCTATTGGAGGGCATCTCGGTTGGTTCCACATTTAATCTGCCACATTTAGCACACAGGGCAATAATACTATATTGAATCATACTCTTTTGTTCTTTTTTAACTTGAATTTTTGGTTGAACAAATAGAAAGCTCAGGGAGAAAGTTAAATTTAAGAGATTTTTTTAGGTTACATATATGGCATAATAGGTAAGGACAGCTCATGATTTTTGAGAAATTAAGTCACCTTCCATCAACTTCCAATATATAGCCAGACACATTCTCACCAGTATATAAACAGCATTGATTTCATCTGGGACCATTGGAACCAGGACTTGATGCCATGAAAATGCCTTCTCTCCTTTGTTTATCTTTGCTTTCCTTTGCATACTGGCTTCATTCCTTTTTCTCCCTGTATAATGGCTTTCTCCACATGGTAGAAGAGGCTTCCAAATTTAACATCTCAAAACACAGCCACATGCATAGAACTTGACCCAAATTTCTGCATCCCAAGTACAAAAACTTCTAAGAAGATATTTATTGGGATCAGGCACCCACTCCTAGATTGTCAATTGTGGCAGCAGGGCAAGGTCTTGTTGATTTACCAGGAACCCTCTCTCCCAGTCCCATGGCCAAGTACTGGATCACAATCTACTAATGTGGCTATTTCCATAAGTAACCATAGAGATGGAGATATGGAGCACTTTCTTAGAAAAGGAGTTCTGAGCAACCAACCCCATAGGAGTCAGATGTTATTTGGAGGGGGGAAATTATCTTATCACTTATACCACCATAGTTTTAACCTCACAGATGCCCCCACTAAACCCAGTCAGCTCAGCATTCATCCATGCATCTGTATCTCAATTTGCAGCATGCATAAAATTCTTTAAATGGGGGCTGGGATTGAGGCTCAGTGGTAGAGCACTCGCCTAGCATGTGTGAGGCCCTGGGTTCGATCCTCAGCACCATGTACAAATAAATAAAATAAAGGTATTGTGGCCACCTGCAACTAAAAATATATTTTTTTAAATTCTTTAAATGGCTTAGCAAACCTAATTTTTGTGTGTTGTTGTTGTTGTTGTTAAGCATATATGCCGCATCACATTTTGGATAGCAAGGATGGAAAGCAAAGTGGACACAAAATCAGACCAGAAAACATGTAATCATGTAATGGTAAGACTAGTCACCATCCTTATGTAACAGATTCTCCAACCCACCTTTTTGTTTTCCTGTTATGTCCCATTAGTTCTATTTTTTGTGGTCTCAGGGAAATAGATGGTATCAACTGCATACTGCATAATTAAAATTAAAAGCATCTAATCATACACTGACAGATATATAAGATATTATTAGTGTCATTATTACAAGTAGAACAAAACCTAATAATACATTATCAGTTCACTGATGTATTGTCATTACTGAACCAGGTCCAGAAGTTCATCCCACAGGAAAAAAATAAAAGTCTGAGAGACAAGTGTGGGGGAGAAAGGAAGGCTTTATTCAGTGGCCAAATAATGGAGAAGTGGTAACTTAGCTCAAAAATCAGCTTCTCTACTCCAGGGAGTCGGGGGGTTACAGATATAGGATAGGAATAGTGGGGGAGAGAGGCTAACAGAAGGGAGGAATATCCATGGTTTGAGGGAGGAGAATAAGCAGGGATCTTTCAGGAACTCAGGTGCCACCTCCTTTCACTCCCTTCATGGTTTGGTGTTTCTTACCATAGTGGGTGGGGTCTTTAGATTTGAAATAGAATCTGACCCAAAGGAAAAAAGGAGACAGGCATAATATGGGCAGAGAGAGAGACAGAGAGAGAGAGAGAGACCCCAAGTGATTTCATCTCATTCCAATCACCCATCAGACATCTATAGGCCTAAGTGATGAGTCAATGTTTTCAGCAAAAGCAGCCTTCAGTTAGTTCCCTGAAGGGTAACCTAGGCAACTTTTAGCATCATAACACACACATCAGAGCATTGCCCAGCTGTGTGATTTCCAAAATGAGTAATTTTTTAAGTCAGCTAAGAGCAAGTAAAGGAAGAGGGTTTATTTAGGTTCTTACCAAGTAATATTATGAGTGAAAAATATCAATAACCATCTCTCTTTGGGCTGCTGAACCATATGTAATTCTGAATATCTGATTTTAGGTAGAGAATGTTCTTGAAAAACTATGTCACCAATTTTCAGGCAAACTGATTTATATTATAATTTCATAAGATAGGGAAACTACTTTTTAAATATTAGCTTATGGGATGGGAATGTGGCTCAAGTGGTAGCGCGCTCACCTGGCATGCGTGCAGCCCGGGTTCGATCCTCAGCACCACATACAAACAAAGATGTTGTGTCCGCCGATAACTAAAAAATAAATATTAAAAATTCTCTCTCTCTCTCCCTCCCTCTCTCTTAAAAAAATATTAGCTTATTTCCTGAATTACATAGTGTAAGCACGATGCACAAATGACGGAGGCAGGAAGCAGACTCAGATCAGCAAGCTTTTCTTTATTCTGCAGTGAAGTCAACCAATTAGGCACAGGAGGACTCATTTTCTGGGTATGGAAATGGCCTGCAGGTTATATAAAGAGTCTGGGTTTTATAGTTTACAGTGAGGATGAATTAATCATTGTAGACTGTGGACATGCCATTCGGACAGTCAGGGACCTAGTTGTGCAGGTTAAAATTTTAACTCAGGAAGGCAGTTGTAAAAAAGTTTGAAACTCATTGTCACTGGGAAAAGTTCACAACTCAGTGTTCACTGCTTATCTTCCATCCTCTGAGACCCATTGTTACCTAGAGCTTCACCATTTGCTTTTCTCCTTCCAGGACTCATTGGCAATGGGAAAGGGTAGAAGTCCAGGGCCCAGTGTTTCAGTATTTGCCTCCTCCCTTCAGGACCCAATGTGCTTGGGAAGGGTGAATGTTTGCTTTCGGTGGAGATACTGGTGATGAACCCAGGAAGGGATAAACCCGGGAAGGGATGAAAGTTGCTTTAAAGTTGGCTTTTTCCCTCGGGGCCCATTGTTACTGGGAAATGATGTACGGGGAGATGTTTAATGTTTGGTTAATTTCCCCTCCCGCCTCCTGAGTCATACTGTCCCTCTGTTTTTCCCGGGGAGCTGTCTTGTAGGAATATTATTTTCCATAACCCTTCATATAGATCCAGAAAGAGTTCCAGAATAAAGTAGGAGGGAAAGGAGGAAACAGTTGAAAAGTATTTTCCCCACAAACATTAAAGAAAAAAATGGAAAGACCAATAGACACGTGAAAGTGCTTAGTCTTATATACCCTCTCACTCTAACAGAAGCAAAATCCAGCTCAGATGTGTTAGTCAGCTTTCTGCTGCTGTTGACAAAATAGCTAAGATAAACAACTTAAAAGGAGAAAAGATTTATTTTGGCTCACAGTTGCAGAGGCTGAAGCCTTTGGTCCTAATGCTTTGGGCCTGTGGTGAGGTTGAATATTATGACAGTGAGTGCATGGTGGAGCAAACCTGCTCACCTCATGGCAGCAGGGAA